CGAATAACTAGTCAATTTACATATAGCCATCTACAAACAAGTACCAATTCACACCTTTCTACCCAATAAAGATATCAAAATCATAAATAAGAAAATCGACAAACTAATTATTCTGGAAAAGACCATTAACAAAAAAAATATACACAATACTACCAAAGCAAACATAGATTAAGCCATCAGAAATCATAATAACTGGTTTGACATTGACAAGAAAAAACTCATCAAAATACTCCTAGACAATCCTAGGAGAAGCATCCTCACAACCAAACTCATCAAAGAGAAAGGAGACATAAAGACTCTGATATACAAACCTCATGAAATCAAAGAGACAGTCCGATCACACTTTAAAAACTGGACAGAAAAGAAATATATTTTCGAACTGGAAGGTATACACTAACAGAAAGTATATTAACCCATCACTACAATCAAAAAAGAATGGTACAAACCTGCACTCACCCCTTTTACTACTGAAGAAATACATCAAGTAATCAAAAATACTAGTAACAAATCAGCCCCTGGACCTTCACAAATTCCTTACCTTGCATATAAACACCTGTCCAAAGAAACCTTAGAGGTCATAACTATACTTTCAAATAATATCCTTACATATGAGAAACTACCTACTGAATGGAAAAAAAGCACAATATATCTGATATCCAAACCAAAAGATTGGCAGCACAATATTAACATCACTCGACCCATCACACTCCTCGAGTCTATCAAAAAAATCTTCACCAAACTCATCAATAACAGACTAGCCAAAATAATGATCGAACATCCAATCCTATCAGAAAACAACTAGGCAGCACTTTCCAAAAGTAGCACATGCGAACCTATTACTATTATAAATCAAGTACTTGAAGATGTATAGAAAACAAACAAACAATGTCTCATGCTCTTTCAAGACATGAGCAAGGCATACAACACCGTCAATACACAAAGATTGACCAACTCACTCCAACAAATAAAAATGCCAAACAAAATAATCAATATAATTAACAACTGCTTCATAAACAGGTCCAACAAGGTAATCACGTATTTCGGGCTCACTAATTCATACCAAGTCAAAGAAGGAATCGACCAGGATAATACAATTTCATCTCTCCTTTGGTGCATATACTACGATCCCCTAATAAGCACAATCAGCTCAATGAAAGACTACCAGCTTAAATGCCACAGACCAAATCTTGACAACAGTAGTTCTACAAACCTTAATATCACTGTAACGGCATATATGGATGATAATCCATTTATTGCTCAAAATAGAGAACAACTGGAAGATATTATGGAAATCAGTGCCTCCTTCTACCACCTTAATGGCATCATAGTCAACCCGCTCAAATCTGAACTCTTAATACTCAATAGTTCACAGGAAAGTATTACTTTCCAAGAGCATGAAGTAACACTAACTATCAAAACACAGGCAATAAGAGTCCTAGGTATATGGCATGAAAGAAAAAAAGGAAAACAACATCAATATAATCTCATCAAAAGGAAAGTTACCACAATTTGCAATTCGATAGCCAGAAAACAAATCACAGACAAGATGCACTATTACATCACAAATCACGTCCTCTTTTCTACAATAGAATACCTTCTAACAGACCTGGTACTAATGAAAAATGAAGCTCGATAGATTGACTGCCATATACACAGCTGCCTCAAACATTGTGTTAAACTCTCCAAAACTGCCCCAACTCTATTAGCACACCTCAGTAATCAATATAACATTATGGAAATTGAAACACAATAACTACAGAAACACTGCAGTGATTTTCAAGAATTATATCATAGTAACAATCTAACAGAACAAATAATTAGACTCAGAACTCAACAACTGCAGTGTATGGCATGGCAAAAAGAGGATATTCTCAAAAAATGCCCAAAGCTTCTTCTAGCAAAAGCAAACTTTATATATAATGCACTTCATAATATACAGGCCCAAAATATCATATTACACCGTCAAATAATAATGAGAAATAATAATTATAGACTCACCTACATTGAATACATCATGGTAAATGAATGGTACAACTCCAATAGAAAGGGACTAAGAGCACACAATATAATGTGGATTGAATAACTCCTTAACACCTATCACACAAAGACCTTAAACTGGCATCAAGTAGGAGCACTTCACAATAAAACAAATAAGCGAAAACAACCTTCCTTCTTTACAACACTCAAAGCCATAACATAAATCTACATTAACAACCATGCAAATTTCAATCAACTCAATCCCGAAATTCAAATTAAATGCAATACAGAATCAGAATAAGAACAACAAAAAAACTTCAACAAGTCATGATATATTCTTCAGTAACATCACGACTTCACTATTGGAAAACAAATGAGTCGAGACAAAGACCACACCAAACTATGACACTATCTTATCACCAACATCTCACTATTAGCAAAATGTCCAAAATGCGAACTGAATCAATACATAGACAAAAGAAGTCACATATGCTGCTTCACAATTCCAATGAAATCACTGTACAAAGTCTTAGTAATTAAAACATCTAAAACAAATGCAGGAATATCAGAAAAGCTACATTTCAGGATTCAGCTCTCACCCAGCAGTACTTAATGCTGGCTCAATGAACCCAATCAAACTATCGAAGTAGTTGAAGTTAACACAACTCCAATTTTCATAAAAAACTTATTACAGTTAATAATTATTCCAGCCTCCACAATACAACAACTCATTACCATTAACAAAAATATTAACATCAATAAGATAATCAAGATAACTATAGACAGAGTTTTCAATCACAATGATCACATTACCTTAGGAGTAGGCATTATCTTCTCGACTAGCATGATACAACTGGACAACTTCAAACTCAGAATCACAGGGTAGTGCTCAGCCTTCAGACCAGAGATCCTAGCTGCAACTATTGCAATCAGCTCTCTACCATTTAGACAAAAAGCAATTATACAAATAGACTCAGCTAAACTCATTACAAAGCTTGAAAAAGCATCGCTTGGACAAATAAAAAACATATTAGAAGTCAGACTTATCCACAACCTATGCCATTGTATCAAGGCAGCACAAACCTCAATTAGCTGAATCAAAATCTACAAAAAAGAAAACAACAATGATGAATTAAAACAAGCAGACAAGTTAGTTAAACAAAGCCTAAAGGAAAATATCATCAGTGACAACCTGACACAAAAACTTTTGGAATCCAAGGTCATCACTTTCAAGTACAATCAAAAGATAGAAATTACTGACACTATCCTCAAAACAATAAAATGAATGAGACAAGCCATACTTACACATAGATGGATTTCACTAGATCGAAACTGCAAACTCAACCAACACCAAAAAGCTAACATTGACTGGAAAAAGACATTTTAACATCTACATCTGACAAAAATCATGAGCAACCACACAGACAACATAAATCACAGCCATAAACAATTCGTCATTAAACTATGGAACCTTGAACTCCCAACAGTGGATAAATTACATATCCGCAAGCCTGAAATTTATAGATCATCCACATGCTTTACTTGCTCAGAAATAGAAGACAATATTCACCCCTTCATATGTAAGCACCATGAAATCCACATTAATGAAATGATACTCAATACTATATACTCAGAAACTATTATACAGACTAAAAAAGGAAGCCCACACTCCTGCAAGAAGGAAATTGAAAACCACTTAGAAACAAACGAGTTATAGAACATCTTCATCAGAGGAGGTATCAGCAGGAAAGTTATTCAAATAATCAGTCAATTTATTCCATCAGAGAAAATAGCAGAAGCCACCCGTAACATCATCTATAGAATCAGATTCATCACTTACAATATATGAACAGACAGATACATCTGTATCCAAATATGGGAGAAAGCCATGGGAATATCCAAAACCTTGAAGAAAAAGAAGCATAAGTTCAAAAGATCCACTGCCCAGAAAGACACATCCACCACAACAATACAAAAGAAAACAATGGAGGAAATCATCGCAGACACTCTAAACATCCTTGACATCTTTACTAAACATACTGACGAAACCTAGATACGTTAATTCCTCTAACCAGGTATAACAAGTCACAAGGAGTTGTAAAATCGAGCCCATTACCAATTGGTTTTATTGTTTTGCTTAACATTAAAAATAGTTTATACAATTACTCTGTAATAAATGTAAATGTATTGCATATAATCAATAAAATAGGCAATTTAAGTGTTTTCAAAAAAAAAAAAAAAAAACAACTTATCTTTATATATAAGTACTCTAAGTCAGATTTTGGAAACAATATTATACTCCCCTGATAGATTGATAATGACCTCTATCTATTAAGATCATTTTCAACAATTTGTTACTGTTGATTGCCCAAAAACCAATAAATTACTAAATATACCTTTTTGTATATAATCAAAAGATTAATAAAAAAGTTTTTTTTAATAATATTAATTGTAACTGTTTTGCAAATATCTTTTTTTCAAATCAAACCTTTTCAACAATAGCAAGCATATGCAATATTACTATTATTAATAAATGCTATTCTAACACTATAGGGATAATTTTAAATCTGTATATTTTGGGCCAATCACGTGGTCGACCACACCAACATTCAGCTAGGCTTTTTTACACATCTTTCCGAGAGTGCAATAACAATTACGTAGCCTTCACACATAACAATAGATTTAATTTTTTGATACTTTACTATGTATATATGAGAAAAGTATATTGATATTGCGTTGTTGATAAAATGTACAAGAATTTGCTACGGGGGAGGGAGAAGATGGAGAGAAGAAAGGAGGGATAATGAAAGAAATTATAATCATGATCTTATGAATATATAACCAAACTAAATTATCGATGAATCTACCCAATTTTCTTTATGTTAATAATTATCAGATTAAATATTTCGCATCCCAGAGAAAAAATGATCTATTTTTATTGAAGGAAGAATAGGGATTAAATAACTAGCACACTACATTTCAACTTAATATAAAAATTTGCCTACCATAAATTTTATTTGTCTCTATATAGGGGTTATATATAATGGTTCATGAGTTTTTTCGTAACCGTGCCTATTGCAGCTTTCATCGACCCCCGAGTCGTCGCTAAGGTCCACCAACTCTTCAATACAAAGTTTCATTTCTTCCAGGCGGTATGGTTTTGTCAAAAAGCCATCCATGCCATATTGCCGGCATTTATCCTTTTCTCTGTCCAGGACACTTCCCGTGCATGCTACTATAGGTAGGTGCTTACGGTGATGATGCTGATGAGAGGTTGGGGTGGTGGGCGTTTCATCAGGCTTATGCTGAGAATTATCAGGGGAAACATTCGATAAAGAAAGGAATGATGACGATGATGCGGTTATTTGCGATGGTAATGTTGAGGTTGAAAGGGATGATGGTGTGACTGACGCAGTGGGAGACGAAGAATGCGATGAAGAAGTTGAACACAGAGTATGAGCGCATGATGATGTTAAGCGCAAATCTTGTGGAATGGAATGCGAGGACGCGAATCTAGGTAACGAGCAGCATTGTGGATCACAATGACAAAATTCCCGTTCCGATTCTCTTATCCGACGCGTCAAGGCGTATCCATCCTATTATGGTAATAAAACGTCATTAAACGAAAATCGCATTGCTTTCAATGTTATCGGAAAAGAAAAATACCATAATCGGCATCTGGAGGTCAACGAATAGAATATCAAAGGATTCTTTTTTCATTTTCTCCAATGCTTCCGCACCATTAGCAGCAACCGTAACCTCCTCTCCCATTTTTTCCAAATACTTTATGGCAATTTGCTGGTTGACCTCATTGTCCTCTACCATCAATACCTTTGCAGGCTTCTTGTTTTTTCGTATACCTCCGGGACCGCTAAAATCACTAGCTGTGAGCTCAGAGTTTGGCCGTGACGATGATGATGAGCTTGGAGATAAGGAACGTATCGACGCAATGCTATCGGCGGTAGGGGTTCTTCTCCTTTTCAATATTTTTTTTCGTTCATCACTTGACCAATAGGTATTACACGCATCGTCGACGAGTGAATATGACTTTTTCCACAGAAAGTCCTTGAGAGTCCTTTCTTTATCAATGATTTCATTGTTTGATGTATCAACGACTATTCCAAAATCATTTTCATCCTCAAAATCCTCGGGCATACTAGTGTATATAGGAAATGTAAACCAAAACTTGCTACCATTTCCCAACGCACTTTCTACGCCAACTTTACCGCCTATCTTATTAGCCAGCTCTTTACATATACTCAAACCCAGACCGGAGCTCCTTTGCGACTGATTTTGGTGACGGCTAGATGCACCATCGACAAATTCATTAAAATTTTTATTGATTTCACCGAATGAAGAAACCAATTTCGAGTAGGGAAGGAAAAGTCGCTTGAGATTCTTCTGCGGAATACCTGGACCAGTGTCCTCCACAGAACATTTTGCCATGAACCCATCCTTTCCATCAGGTAACTTATCATCTTCAACCTCAAGAATGACTGTCACCGAGCCAGGTCCTGTGTGTTTGATTGCATTTGTCAAATAATTCAACAAAATTTTTCTAATAGTATCTCCGTCACCGTACCACCCGACACTAGATTCGTCGATTTCAGAATTGTTGCCATTGTCCTGAACCTTTTTCTTTTGCAAGGACGTAAGATTATCCTTCACTCTCAGTTCAGTCCCTTTGTTTATAGCTGACACTGTAACAGTTAGAAAACAGAATTCAACTATCTCCCTCAAGCGCAACGAACCTATTTCTGAAATATATATACCACGGGATTGAGTCTGACATAAGTCGAGCGATTGATTAATGATATTACACATGTGGTTACTTATAGAGGAAATGGCCTCGGCGTAATCACGTTGTTGTTTTGTCAATTCCGTATCCAAAACCAAAGTTATGTAACCGATTATACCATTTAAAGGGTTACGAAGTTCTGAAAATAAGAACCCGCGTGATTAAAAGACGGATTAAAAGGAAGAATTCACTGTTCCACATGATAATCTTTAACATGTTGAATTGTGAAATAAAAAATATCGAGTACGAGAAGTAAATGTAAAAAAAAAAAATACACGCGTACACACACATACACACGCCACGTACCATGACATATAAAAGAAACAAAATTATTGGCAACCTTGTTTCGTGTATCATTATCAGCGTTATGCAACAGTTTACGGCGAACTATAGCTTGGTCAGGTATCAGCCCACGATTTTCCAGAACGGATTCAGTTGTGTTTGTAATGTCGAAGCCTACGAATGTCCATTGACCATTTGATTGAATACCTTGCGACCAAATTTCTAATAGACAGTAGGTCCCGTCTTTTCGTTGATGACGAAAACAATGTCTTTGAAGGGTTGTGCCGTATGGTTCCGAGGCACGCTTCGAATGGTACATGCGAACCTCCGTAGCATCATCGGGATGAATGTAAGCATAACCGTCGAGTCCTAATAATTCGTTTGGATCGAATCCCAATATGTGTTTGCAAGATCTGGACACCTCAAGTATTAATCCGGTGAGATCATACGTGATGGTGATTCGATTGTCGGCCTCGTTAAGCACAAATTCCACGAACTTTGAATCGGTCACATCTCTGATGGTACTAATGAGGACCACATTTTTCACTGGATCTACGGACGAACAAGGGTCGACAACGACCACTACCGGATTCCTCGATGTGTGTAATTTTGAGCGAAGATCTTCGAGAGATTTTGTGCTTGTGGATTCCAGTGAATCAAGATTTCCAGGTGATAAGACTTCTTGATACGATTCATTTTCTTTTTTAACTATACTACAACTATGTTTTCCCTGTTTCTCAGGATCACCAGCGTTATGACCCTCCAAAACATTGAAATCTTCTTCCGATTCTTCTGATGCGTCATAAAATTGTTCATCGTCATCGTCATCATAATCATCATCGTCGCCATCATCTTCACCTCCACCTCCCTTTCCGCCTCCCTCTTCCCCAACACCACCCCTACCACAAACACCACACACATCACTTACTTTTTCATCTTTTGTCCCTTTAACGCGGTCCATACTGACATCATGATTGCATTGTGGTATGGAATTCTCCGGCAGAACGCATGTGTGTGTAGAAATCTCTAAAATTATTGGTCTTTTGTTTTTAAATGTCCGACATTTGAAAATCCTACGCACGTGAGTACCTTTTATTATCTGATTATTGTTCATGAAATGATCGCGCAGTGATGTAGCTTCGTAGGAATCTAAAGGCTCAAGTATTGTGGTATAGTGAGCATCATTGTAAAAACTCGGTTCTGGAAAATCCTTAACGTTACAGGTTGACGTTTTCTTGGAATGATAATGTCTCTCTATTAAACATAAGGTTGGTCTGTTGAGATATATAATGCGGCCACGTAGATCGGTCACCAAAGTTGGGGCCGAATTGTCGAGGATGGTTGAAAAAAAGGAATTTTGCGAGTCATTCGTGCTCATGTCCACTTGTCCTCAAATTCTTCAAATCGTTACGATGATCACGTGAGGAATATCTTGTCACGTTTTTTCTCGCCTTTTTTTTTTTTTTCTTTTTTTTCTTTTCTTTTCTTTTTTTCGTTGCAATTTGCAATTTAATTACGAAATTCCGAATTCTGTTAACCTGTAAATTGATAAACATAAGATGAGTAAATATATTGTACACAGGGTGATTATTATCATTATAATGGCGCGAGTAGTTTGAACTATCCAACTTAAATCCAGAATTCTTGGACTCTTGATCAATAATGCTCACCCTTTTTCTCACTAATCCACGAACGATTCCTTGCTTTAATTTGATCCAATCTTGATATTGAATTGTCCTCAAAGTGAAAGAACGATCAAATACCTTTGAAAAGTTCTGCTAAAAATATGAGCCCAAGCCAACATCGATTGTTCTTTTTCTCGTTTCGCTTCTCTGTAAATGAGAACCTATTTCTTTGTGATGTGTAACCTATGAATCCAGGGTGAAAAAGACTAGATTAATTTTTTGTAAACTCGAGATGATTGAGTAAACTAAATACAACGAAAACCAATGTCTACAAGAAAAATTAAAAGAAAAAAAAAAAAAAAACGAAAATAGAAAAAGTGAAATTTGCAAAAAACCAGGCTAAAAAGGGGAATCCAATAAATCAAGAAAATACTTGCTATTATGATATTTGTAATGAATGTAGTATCTAATATTAATAATCGCGACTATGACAATAAAGACGGGAGTGCGGGATTATCTAAATGGCGCAATATTAAAGAAAAGCTTTTAATGTCTACACATATTTCTATTATCAAATAAAAAAATTTTTATGCTACAAAAAATAATAATGCACGTTTGATGTTTTTATACGCACGTAGTTTTGCGGTTAAATGGTATGTAATTTACACGATAGTACCACCACGCCATGTAATTTTTGTTCGTATCACCTTTACGCACTATGATGTCACTATGACGTTATGTGTTACGCAAAATTTTTTCATCATCATATTTGCATTGTATTTGAATTAAATAAATACTGTATATGCAACCGGAATGATAAACTACGGTGTAACATCACTAACATAATGGCACATGATATGATCTGAAAGGAATTCTCCGGACCCTAAAGTCACGAGTCCAAAATAGACTGAGAAAGTTGTTTTCGTGATGTACGTAGGCACGTATTTACTGTACCTACATATTCAACATTCTTTTACGAATAACCTTATTAGTGAAGTTTTCAAAATCCAAATATAATTTAATCAATTATTAAATTTTATTTTTTTAAACCGCAGTCAGGATAATACGTTTTTATTATATCATAATAAATCTGCAACTAGATCATATCAACTTATCACATTTATTTTATTTAAAATTCTTTGTTAGGCTAGTTACATAAATATTTGTAAATTGTGTATATAGAAAATTTATGTATTGTTAAAATTAATTCTTTAATTAGCTTATTTATTTTAAAGAAATATTTAAAAATTGTAAATAAGAACAAGTATTGAATTTTTTTGAACTTGTTTTTTATATTATTTTTTTAAAAAAAAATTATGCTTTTTTATTTTAATTTCCTAGATAGTTCAATTTAAATAAATTTAAATGATTATATAATAATTTCTATAGATTGATTTGAATCCAATTTGAATCCAATGATTTTATAAATTTAAATTTGATTTAAATTGAATTCAATAGAATTAAAAATTTTGAAACTTTATTTGATTTGATTTATATTCAATTTATATATCAATCAGATTTAAATCAAAACTATAATCATTAATATAAGATATGTATTATTGTTTTCTTCTTTATTTATTTGGATCTATTAGATTGCTAATTAAATTAATTTAATCAATAATTATAAATTTTGAATAATTATATATTTTATATATTTTTTGTTTAATAAAGTAATACTTATTATTTTTTTGATAAGTTTAACTGAATAAATATTAACTGTTATAATACTATTATATAAAATACTATTAAGAATAATGATAACTATAAGTATTTTTGTTTTATAGATTAAGAACTAATTTTTAATCTTAAAATTAATCTTCTGAATATTTATAAAATTATTTTTATAATAAATTTAATTTTTATAATTTAGAATTATATCAAGTTATAAGTATTGTTTATTGTTATTTGAAAATTATTTTTTATTTTGAGAATAGTATATATATTATTGAGTATTTGTTTAGATATATAGTATAAAATCAAACTTGAAAAAAAAAATTTCAAAAAAGTCTTATTTGATAAAAAACAAATTCTATATATAATGTTACAAAAAAAAATAAGCAATAACAAGATGCATAAATATATTATTAAAGTATATTTTTTCTATTATCAAATACTTGATCTACAACCTGATATTTATAACAGTAGAAACCTATAGGATTAATAGGAGAATCAGATGCAACATGAAATATAAAGTCAATTTAACAAGTTCAATATTTGATCTAGTCATATATCTTAAAAATCATTATGAAATTCATAATATTGTAACTAAATAACTTTAAAAATATGCAAAAAATCTACAAAACCTTAATAATAACTCAAACATAACAAGATACATTAATTGCAATCAACTTCAAAACCTGCAGTAACATACCTGACAGAATAAAAGTATCTTGAAAAATGCCACAATCTCTTTAAAACAGAATACAACTTCTATTATAATATTATATACAATTTGTAAAGAAATGATATAATAGTTCTCATTGCTGACAAGATTGAAAACATATAACAATTATATTATATTCATGAAATTACAGATCCAAAATGATAAAACATCACTAAGACATTACAAAATCAAGTTTATCGAACAAATTATTAGTATATATAAAATATAATTATTATTTTAGCATCAAGTTAGAAGATTACACAATAAAACTATTAAGAGAAAAAAGTCTAATTAGTTTTGAGAATTAACAACAATTGCAATAAACTTCTTATAAGATCTATATAACTCTAATAAACTAAACACATATGTTTAAATTGATCAACAATTATTAGTACAAGTATATTAGTATAATATATTATTATAATCAACAATAATCTTATAATAGGAAAAGAGATCAACAATAATCAAAACTATATAAAGATCAGAAACCACCAATACTTCAATTACTCTTTCTAACCAACTGTATAGAATGTGATGAAACAAATATCACAAATAGAAAAAGTAATAAATATTTCATTAAAGTATTAAATAAAAATCTTGTAAAAATACTTATAACCATAATCTCCTAATCAAACTCAACAATAAATAGCAAGATAAAAATTTAAATATATATATTCTCTAAAAGTATAACAAAATAATTAATTCAATTTAATTAATTCTTGGATGTAGTGAAGACAAATATATATCCTAGATACATAATTATATTTAACAAAATACTAAAGTTGTCATACAGTATAATTAAATATTTTAAAAAAATCAGTAATAATTTCAAAAAATCAAGCACAGTTAATATTTATTATAACAGAATCTATAATCTCATAAAGAATAGCAATTATATAAACATAGGGATTTTTTTTTAAGATAATAACAATTTGATTACAGAAACTATAATATAAGTCTGAATCAAAAATTTTAGCAATCTCACAGAACTATCAATTATTACTATAGCTTTGAATCTTATAAAACATAAGATTATATATTATATTTTATTTGACTTCTTTAAGGCAATCAATGAAATATAAAAAGTAATCAATATCTGTATCAAAAAATGCAGATACCTCTGGATTACCAACTGCATTTCTAATAAAATCTTATAGAGACATCTAAATTGCAATTGACATAAAGTCACAAAGGAAAATATCCTAGTACAATACAAATAAGTTGATCAATTGACTAAAGATTGCATAAATAATCACAATATAATATACACTGCCACACATACAAACTTTTCTATTAATATAAACCTGATACTCTATAAATACCTCAATACTGAAGTTATATAAAGTATCAAAAAAACAATAAAGAATATATAACAAGCAAAATACTCTATAATATAGAATAATTTTGAATATAATACAAACTTAATAATAAAGTAAAAAAAGTACATAAACTGAAAAAACTCCATAATTAACTTATAACCTTTGAATATAAACTTCTTATTATATAATATATAAGATTAAAGATTTCATATTTTTACACTCAAACTTTGAAACCAAGAACTTTTTATGATATCCAAACTACACAAATATTACTCTGACCTCTATACCATGAGAAAATATTTCAGATATTCAAAAACAAAAGATCAGAATCATACCTTTATATTCAAAGTATATAGGTTCAATATCAAAGATTTAATTATCAATACCATCAGTAGAAAAATCTCATTATGAATGAAATAATAATTACACACAAATATTAAAGCCACAATAATATCAAAAATTGAACAACACAATATATGAAATATAATTATTAGAGGAGAAATAATCAAAGATATAATACAACTTGTTATTTCACTCCTTAATAATAGTAAGATCTCAGAAACAATCTTGGGTATTATTCAAAATATTAAATTTTTAACCTTTAATATATAGAAAAATCATTGTCAATATTTTTATAGAGGAAAATTAAATATTATAATTAAATATTCTATATTAAAATTCAAAAAGTATAACAAATTCCAACATAAACATAAGCAAATAGAAATACATATTGATAAAACAATATACATAGATATCATCAATAGCAACATTTTCATCTATAACATTTTTAAAATATATGCTAATAAAGTCTAGATATATTAATTTTTTTAAAAAGAGACAACAAGCCACAAGAGATTTTTTTTTATAACAAACAGACTTTTTTCGAAGATAAATAGAAATAAAACATAAAAAACATTGATTGCAAAATTGCTTTATAATTTAAAGTAATATATACTTATTTACAATACACCTAACAAAGTGTATCTATTTTTATACAAAAAAAAATAAATTAAATTAAATTTAATTAAATAAATTTATAAATAAAATAAAT